GGAGACTCGGGGATCGAGCGCTCGGGGAGCGAGGGCCCGAGGGTGGGGACTCGGGGATCGGAGGCTCGAGGGCTCGGAGATCGAGCGCTCGGGGATCGAAGGCTGCAGGATCGGGGCTCGGAGATGCGGGCTCGAGGATCGAGGCTCCAATCGGAGTTCGAGGATCGAAGGCTTGGTGAGCGGGGTTCAAGGATCGGGGTCTGGGCCATCTGGGTGCCGTTGCTAGCTTGAGACCGTTTTAAAAACGTCTGCGATACGTTTTCAACACGTTGTGATTTCCTCTGTCGGAAAGGGCTTACTGTCCTGAGGAAACGTGTTCTTCTCACTTCAACCTTTCACCCAGAATGTGCTGATGGTTTTCAAAAAGCTTGTCCAATGCCTAGCGTCTGGCTGTAATGTGTTATAAATGTTTTGCAGATCCACGCTGTTCAGTCACAAGACGATAAGTTGTAAACTTCCAAAAACCACTAAGCGCCTCGATATCCAGACCGCGAGCGCATGGATGCAAATATGGTCTTCTAAATCCGCTCAAAATCGGGCCCCAGAACCTTCCCGGCCCACATCCAGGCAAGTGGCTCACCTCTGATCAATGTTTGACGGCCCTGGGGCCTGAAGACGGCCTCCTGAGGCCGAAAAGAGCTCATAACCTCGACCCTCGAATTCTTGTTCGTGTGGTTCGACGCTCGTTCGCTGGGCCAACCACTGCGCCAATACGGATACAGTCTGGACTGAGTTCAGAGAACGTACAGGAGGACACGAGTCTCTTCCGAGGGCACTCTGTGCTCCACACGTGAGGAGGACACGAGGCGCGATTGACATGGCACGAGGGTCCTCCTGATTTGACAAGGTCAACCTACCAATCAGACCCGACCCCCGACCTCGGACGTCGTGATGTCTGGACTCGGCGGCGAGCGAGAGGGGGGAAGTGAGGAGGCGGCCTTCTCAGAAGGCGGCGGGATTTCTCAGAAGCCCTCTGGCCTTCTGAGCAGTTCCCTGTGCTTTGGGGAAGGCTTCGAAAACTTCTCAGCAGGCTGGGGGACTTCCGAACCTTCTGAGAAGGCCCGCCCCATCTCACTTCCCCCTCGGACTCGCCGCCGACTGACAAGGTCGACCCCCAGAGCTCTCGACCCCTGCCCCAGGGCCGGCCTTGAATCCGAAGTCGTTGGCTTACGGTCCCGGGGGGACTGAAAACAGAAGCATGAGGAACAAAAACTTCCGTCGTGACTTTTGCATGGGGCCTGGGCTCTCCCTCATCCGTCCTCCCTCATCCCTCCCCCGTCCTCCGTCCTCCTTCATCCCTCCTCCGTCCTTCGTCCTCCGTCCTCCGTCCTCCTCCTCCTCCTCCTCCTTCTCCCCCTCCTCCTCCTCCTCCTCCTCCTCCTCCTTATCCTCCTCCTCGTAGCCATTTCGCGCCCAAGCAGCCCCTGGTGCACGGGGCGCGCAAGAGTGTTTCGCGGGCAAACTTCAAAATGGCACTGCTCGCGAGAGCCGACATCGAGAAGCGTGGCGCCCCACGTCATCAGCTACAATGCCGAGAACAGGCGCGAGCACACCCGCCAGGAGTCTGGGCTCCCTCCGCCCTCCCCTCCTTTTCTCGTCGTCATCTTCCTCCTCCTTCCCCCTCCCCTCGTCAGTCTGGCGAGCTGCTGCGCTGGCCTCCCGAGCGCCGCGGCGGAAGTGCAGGCAAAACAAGGTGTGCTTCCACTGACACCGCCTCCACCACCGCGTTCCTGCCATCAGGCCTGCCTGCATCCCTCGCCCACCTTCCCCTCCAGCGGCCACCTCCTCCATCCACGCCGTCCCCTTCAACCTCCCCTTACCCGCCACTTCCACGTCCACGCCAGGGCGGGCAAATTCCGCGGCCGGAGGCCGCGGGTCAGCCCTAGTGAGCTACAGTGTAGGGATCAGGCCGTGCGAGAAGGCAAGCAGTGTCAGTTGGTGCTGGCGCTGCGGAAGCTACAAAAGTGTGGGTGGGCCACGATCAGCGGCAACGCTGGGAGCAGCCCGTACGAGAAAGGAGGCGCGCAGTGGCAGCAGACGCTGGCGCTGCGGGGCAAGTGCGGGTGGGCCACGATCAGCAGAAACGCTGGGAGCAGCCCGTGCGAGAAAGGGGGCACGCAGCGGCAGCAGACGCTGGCGCTGCGAGAAAAGTGCGGGAGGGCCACGATCAGCAACCTCGGTGGGAGCGGCCCGTGCGAGCAAGAAGGCAGGCAGTGGCAACGGGCACTGCGCGCTGTGTGAAGGTGCACTATACGGACCTACCGCATCCTCGGATATCGATCCTCGAGCCTGGCTGTCGCGGTGCCCCCACGCCAGGCGGAGAGCTCCGTCTGCATCATGATGACGTCGATCGCCTGGCCGCCAGGCGCTGCCGCCGACTCGTCTCCCTATTCCCCTCTCTCCCCTCTCTCTTGCCTCTTCCTCTTCCTCTTCCTTCTCCATCTCCTCCTCCTCCAACTCCTCCTTCCTCCACCACCACCTCCCTCCTCAACCCTCTATATGTCCGCCTCCTCCTCCTCCTCCTCCTCCACCCTCCGTCCCCCTCCCGATAATCCTCGTCATCATCAGCTCACCATCATCAGCATAATCGTCATCAGCATCATCGTCATCATCAGTATCATCATCATCATCATCATCATCATCATCATCATCATCATCATCATCATCATCATCATCATCATCATCATTATCAGCATCATCATCATCATCGTCATCAGCATCAGCATCAGCATCATCATCACCATCATCATCAGCATCATCATCAGCAGCAGCAAAGCCATCAGAATCACCATCATCAGCAGCAGCATCAGGACCATCATCAGAATCAGCAGCAGCATCAGCATCATCATCACCATCATCATCGTCATCATCATTAGCATCAGCATCAGCATCATCATCTTCATCACCATCAGCAGCAGCATCACTACCAACACCACCACCATCAACATCATCATCAGCAGCAGCATCATCATCGTCATGATCAGTATCCGCATCATCATCCGCATCGACAACATCAACGACAACAAACGACAACGACAACGACAACGACAACGACAACGATAACAACAAAAACAACAACAACTGCAACAACAACAGCCGCAACAGGAACAAAAAAATGTAACAACAATACCGTTATCAGCAGCATCAGCATCATCAGCAGCAGTAGCAGCAGCATCATCATTATCATCAGCACCATCAGCAGTAGCATCATCAGCGGCACCATCATCACCACCATCAGCATCATCATTACCCTCACCATAACGACAACCAGCATCATCATTACCACCATCATCATCACCATCACCACTACCACCATCATCATCATCATCATCATCATCATCAGCATCATCATCACCGCCCCCATCATCATCAACATCAGCAGCAGCATGATCATCACCATCATCATTACCATGACTATCACAGCCACCAGCACCACCATCATCACCACCACCATCATAACCACCCACATAATCACCCTTACCGTCACCATCGGCATCACCACCACCATCACCACCCCCATCCTCATCAGCATTATCATCACAACAGATCCACCATCACCTTCATCATCATCACCAGCAGCATCACCAACATCATCCATCATCGTCACCACCATCAACATCATCATAAGTCCGCCGGCCCCTTCTGTGGGGCCACCAGGCTGTAGGACTAGGTTGCTGCTCCCGGCACCAGTTCCAGCTTCCAATCTCCAATGTTACAATCCTGGTTTCTGCTTCCTACTGTAAATTGCTAATGTCCACGCAAGGGGGGGAGACCGAAAACCAACTAGGTTACGACGCCCGAATCACGTCCTCAGAGTTTTGTTGGGGGTCGTGGGACGCGGAAAAATACCCGAGATTCGCGTCCCCGAAGCCACGATCCCTTGCAAATTACCTCATACTCGCGTCCCTGGGGCTAAAAATCCTTGTAAGTTACGCAGTACTTGCTCCCCCCATGGCCAGAAGCCTTCGTAAACTACAGAAAAATTGCGCCCCCGAAGCAATCAATCTTAGCAAATTCAGAATTATTCGCGTCCCCGAAACCATAAACCTTTTTGGTAAATAGTGCAATACTTGAATCCCATGCGGACATGCGGCTTGCATAGAGACGCCGCGGGGGCGCTGCAGGGGGGCGACGGGGCGCCGCGGAAGGGAGGGGGAGCAAGGAGCGATGAGGGCAGCGGAGGAGACAAATAATAGGTATATAATAATTTGTGTGAATAATACACGAGAGTACGCCACTCACTGCTCAACGAAGCCTGGTTCAAATATTCCCCACTACTCCGTTGTTGCACATAACAATAAATCCGTCGTGGTCTTTGGCGGATCCTGGGCCGTCTGTTGTGCGTGTTGCAGCACATCATCCCACCATCGTGTCTTCGGCCGTCCCGCCCGTCGTTGTGTCGGTGTCTGCGCATCCCGTTCAGGATCCCACTGTAAAATTGTTCGTGCCCGCTCCTTTTGCCGTACTCGTGGCAATCTGACGCACCCAATTCCATTTCCGTCGCTTGGTAAGATTACTCCAATATGAAATCGTATTCCTCGCGTGTTTTGTTGCACCCGTGATCCGTTCTGACCAAGATTCCAAAAGGTACTCCTCCTCGTATAGAGTGTCTGTCGCTGGAGTTGGCGACGGTGGCTCGCTATCCACATCTTTTCCACTGTCGGAGGCGGAGCCGTCATTCTCGTCGTTGTCGTTCCCGGTGTCTGTATTGTTGTTTACGCCGATGTCGGGTGAACGTCGTTTTTGCCGTGGTCTTCCGGCCGTTTTCTTTCTGGGCACCTTGACGATCATGCGGAGCATATGTTGTTGAGTTCGGCGGATTCTATCTGAGAGCTCTTCTGTCATCGCCCACGCTTCGCACCAATGCGAAATCGTCGGCGCTATGGTCCCATGGAATAAAAGGATGCGGTTGTTCATGGAGTAGTGAGCGCCCGCGAGCCCCTGCTTAAGTAAATAAACTTTCCTCACGAAGAAGCTATACTATGCGTTCAACTTCTCTCCTGTGGTTGACGCTGAATTGCAGCTTGCGCCCGAAGTACTTCGGCGTGCGGAACGGCGGACTCACCTCGACCTTCATGCCGCGGAAGAAGACGTGCGTCGGTGGTTGTCGTGCTCGTTTTGGTATGTGCCCGTTGTGTAAGATATTGCACTTGCCTGGGTGCAAGCGCAGCCAAGCAGCTGCTGTTTCATTGCTGAGGTCGGAACGCACGCGTGCGATGTCGTTGCTCGATCACGCAATCAAGAGCATGTCGTCGGCAACCGCTGCAGGGTGGCAGGTGGCGGCTGGAAGCCGCGCAGCCTCGCTGCCCGTTTTTGCTTCGCTCGATTCATCATGTGGCCTGACACGCAATCACAGAGTAACGAACTGAATGGGCCCCCTTGCTTCGCGCCCCGTTCGACGCGACATCGGGGAAGATCAGAGGAAATATCTGGGTGAAGATCAGAGGAAGATCTGGGGGAAGATCTGGCGGAAGATCTTGAGAAACATCCGGGGAGAGATCTGGGGGAAGATCTGGGAGAAAATATGGGGTAATATCTGGTGGAAGATCTGGGCGAAGATCTGGAGGAATATCTGGAGGAATATCTGGAGGAAGATCTGGGGGAAGATCTCGGGGAAGAGCTGGAGGAAGATCTGAAGTGAGACCTGGGGGAAAATCTGGGGGAAGATCTGGGGAAAAATCTGGGGGAAGATCTGGGGGAAGATCTGGGGGAAGATCTGGAGGAAGAGCTGGGGTAAGATCTGGGGAAACATCCGGGGAGAGATCTGGGGGAAGATCTGGGGGGAGATTTGGGGGAAGATCTGGGGGAAGATCTGGGGAAAGATCTGGGGGAAGATTTGGGGAAAGATAACCGTGACCATTTTTATCACTCGCGCGATGACGGCAGGACATGAAACAAAACAAGGAATTATAACAATATGATGTTAGAGTAGACCCGCGAGACTGAGCCGTCCTAGTTGTTTGAACTCCCTGTACATATATACATGCATGTGTACATGTATGCCGGTATCACAATGAATGTAACTGAATTGGTTATCGATCTCACGGTTTCATGATCAATCTGCATGTCCCACTACCAATGTACTGGACAATCGCATTGCCTGACCTATCAGACTCCCAATTATCCACCGCCTTCCCCCGAGGCACGAAGTGGAGCGTCCTCGGGTCATTGCTAGCGTTTCTCTAAGAGACCGACAGCCCCGAGTTCCGGAACCTACGCTTCTCGCCAAAGACGGCCCCGGGTGGCCCCCGAGACGGTCCAAAAGACGCCCAGGATGGCCTCCAGACGGCCCAGAGGAGGTGGCCTCCCGGGGCTGAAAATGTCCGAAAACCAGCCGTCGCGATGCTCTGTGTCGCCTGGATCTGAGGGGCGTGCCGCTTCCCGGGCGCACCGCCTCGCCCGAGCACCACTTCGCAAGCGAGGCGCGTCGCCCCACTCTCAGACCTCCGACGTCTCGAGAAGCCTGAGGCGGAGACGTTTCGCAACTTTCGGCCTCCGGGGCCCTCGCCCCCAGGACAGTCAAAGGACGACTCGGCATGAAGAGCCGGCCGCAGGGACAAGGTCCAAACCTCTTGGGACCCCGCAGTGAGAAGCTCAAGACGTCGGCGGATGTCTGTGCTCGCCCGCGTACGGGTGGGGGGGCCCGCCCTCCCGCCAGACTTCCGCCCGCCCGCCCGTTGGGGCCCGCCCGCCCGCGAATGCACCCTGCCGGTGAAGCGCACCCGCACCCTGCTCCCCCAGCGCAGCAGTCCGGCCTGCCGGCGAGATGGTCCCCAGGAGAAATGGCCCGCCGGCGCAAACGGCCCCTCCCCTGAGATCCTGACGTCGCATTTTTTTCGCAACGGGCGAGTTTGCCCAGCCTGCTTCGGGCCCCGGGACCCTCACCGATCGATCAAGCTCGAAACATGCCGCGGCAAGCTGGGGTCGAGGGCTCTGGTCGAGGTTTTCGTGACGTCGAATCACGAGGTTGGGCACCGCGCGGACCCCGACACGCTCCAGGGCGCAGGTGCGCGGGGGCGATCAGTCTGGTCCAGACGGCGTCCGTGCGGTGACGCCCCCATTTTTTCGTCTGGTCGAGGCCTTCGTGACGTCACATCTCAAGGTGGGGCGGAGAGGGCCTCGGACAAAAACTGTCCCTTGCAAGCCAGGCCTCGCGCCTTTCGCCCCCGACCGCCCGCGCCAGCGCCGCCGCCGCGTCGGCACGGCAAGAACCTGCCGCACCTTCCTAGCCTCCAGTGACCCTGACATCCCGGCGTCGCAGTTGTTTCGCATCGGGCGAGTTTGTCCTGTCTCGGACCCCGGGACCATCACAACTCGATATGGCTCGAAGAATGCCGCAGAAAGACGGGGTCTGGGGCTCCAGCCGTGATGTTTCGCGATAGGGGAAGGAATCACCGCTGCGGCAGACAGCCTCGGGTGCGCAGACGAGGGGGGCCAGGAAGATTGGGGAAGCACATCCTGGCCCAAGGCATGTGCGCGGACGAGAGGGGGCCAGGGAACATGTTGATAGAAGACGAGGGGGTCACGACATCTGGGAGATGTCATGACCCCAGCCATGATATCGACACCCACCGACTCCTCACGCCCCTCGTGGGCGCCCCCCGCAGACATCCGACGTCACATTGAATTTTCACAGCGTGCTCTCCGCCACCTCCGCCCAGCAAAAAATGCTGCCCCGAAAATGCTTGATGGCGGTCCCGCGGCCCGAATCCGGCATACGCATGGGTGCAAAAAAGATGAGTGCACTATGGGCGTCGCAACTCTTTCCGTGGCGAGATAAATCTAAGACCTCCTTCACCTCTTCCTCCTCCTCCTCCTCTTCCTCCTCTTCCTCCTCCTCCTCCTCCTCCTCCCTCCTCCTCCTCCTCCTCCTCCCTCCTCCTCCTCCTCCTCCTCCCCCTCCCCCTCCCCCTCCCCCTCCCCCTCCCCATCCTCCTCCTTATCCTCCTCCTCCTCCTCAAAAACCGACCCCCAGACCTCTCGCGGGGCTCGTCCTGGCCAGAGTCTCGAGGCGGACCCGGCCGTGGCAACGGGACGCCCCAGGGGGCCAAAAAAGCCAGGAAACCTCGGTGCCCGATCCTCCATCCTTCCCCTCCTCCTCCTCCTCCTCCTCCTCCTCCTCCTCCTCCTCCTCCTCCTCCTCCTCCACCTCCTCCTCATCATCCTCCTCCGCACCATCTTCATCATCATCATCATCATCATCATCATCATCATCATCAGCATCATCATCATCATCATCATCATCATCATCATCATCATCATCATCATCATCATCATCATCATCATCATCATCATCATCATCATCACATCTCATCATCATCATCATCATCATCACATCATCATCATCATCATCAATCATCATCATCATCATCATCATCATCATCATCATCATCATCATCATCAACATCACCATCAACATCATCATCATCATCATCATCATCATCATCATCATCATTATCATTGTCATTATCATTATCATTATCAGCAGCAGCAGCATCATCAGCAGCATCAGCATCAGCATCCGCATCAGCATCAGCATCATCAGCCTCGTCATCATCAGCACCATCATCATCAGCATCAGCATCAGCATCATCAACATCATCAGAATCATCATCATCAGCAGCGGCATCAGCATCAGCATCAGCATCATAATGATAAGCATCATCATCAGCATCATCATCAGCACCATCACCATCATCATCATCATCATCACCACCATCATCCCCTCCATGATCTTCCTCCTTCTCACCACCATCGTCACCGCAGCCATGACCACTATCATCACCACCACCATCACAAGCACCACCAACACCACCACCAGCATCGTGAGCACCACCACTATCACCACCACCATCGCCAACACCACCCCCACTATTACCACCACCACAATCATCATCATCATCATCATCATCATCATCAGCAACAGCATCATCATCAGCATCAGCATCACCACAACCACCGCCACCGCAACTGCTATCAACATCAGCATCATCATCATCATCGTCATCATCAGCAGCAGCAACAACATCATCAGCAGCAGCATCAGCATCAGCATCAGCATCATCATCAGCACCAGCATCAGCATTATCATCATCATCACCATCATCACCACCATCATCAGAATCATCATCATCATCAGCAGCAGCATCATCACCATCATCATCGTGTCGTCGTCGACGACTTCATCAAACTCGTCATCGTCAGCAACGGCAGCATCATCATCATCATCAGCATCATCATCAGCAGCAGCATCATCAGCAGCAGCATCATCGCTCATCGATCGTCATCATCATCATCATCATCACCAGCATCATCATCATCACCATCATCAACATCATCATCAGCATCATCATCAGCAGCATCATCAGCAGCAGCATTAGCATCATCATCAGCAGCATCAGTACCATCAACAAAACCATCATCAGCATCGTCATCATCAGTAGCATCAAAATCGGCAGCATCAAAATCGTCAAGCACTGTCATCGTCATAATCATAATCAGCATTACCATCATCATGATCAGCATGGTCACTACCATCATGACCAACATCATCATCATCATCATCATCATCATCATCATCATCATCATCATCATCAGCATCATCATCATCATCATCATCATCATCATCATCACCATCGTCATCAGCATCATAATTATCATCATCATCACCATCATCATCATCATCATCATCATCATCATCATCAGCATCATCATCATCATCATCATCATCATCATCATCATCATCATCATCATCAGCATCATCATCAGCATCATCATCACCATCGTCATCAGCATCAGCATCAGCATCAGCATCACAATTATCATCATCGTCATCATCGTCGTCATCATCGTCATCATTATCAGCATCGTCATCATCGTCGTCATCATCAGATTCATCATCATCAGCAGCAGCATCATCATCGTCGTCGTCATCGTCATCATCGTCATCGTCATCGTCAGCAGCATCATCATCAACATCAGTATCAGCATCATCACGTCGTTGTCGTCATTAGCATCTTCATCATCACCATCATCATCAGCATAATCATCATCATCTGCATCATCACCATCACCATCATAATCATCATCATCATGTTAACCACCACAATCACTTTACCACCATCCCCTGGGATCCGACATCTCGAAAAATGCAAGAAAACTCGACAAGAGGCATGAACCCCATCTTCCTGCGGCACTGCTCGAGACGGATCGATACGTGAGTGTCGGGGGGCCCAAAACATGGTAAACTCGCCCGTTGTCAAAAAATGCGACGCCAGGATCTCAGGGACAATCCTCCTCCTCCTCCTCCTCCTCCTCCTCCTCCTCCTCCTCATCATCATCATCATCATCATCATCATCATCATCATCATCACGCTCCTCGGCTGCCAGTCCCCGCAGCCGATGGTCCCCCGACCCCGCGGCGGCCTTGCGCTGCTCGACCCACAAGGGAAGCAGCTCGCGGTAGCGCTCGAGCTGCGCGCGGAAGACACGGCTAGATCGCAAGAATCCCCACCTCCTCTCATTTCACCAAAAATCCACGATGGAAGGTTTCAGAGGAGCAGAACCTGGCATAAACATACACTTTCGGGGTCCACGCGAAATTCTCATATTGGCGCTGGACACCCATCAGGGGCGGCGCCGGCAGCGACGCCAGAGAAGAACGCAACCCAGAACCTTACCACCCAGAACCGCCAGGGGGGGTCCGCGCCGCTGTCTGTGCGCAACCCAAAATCTTGCCACACCTCCTCTCGTTGTGTAGAAGCTACTGACAGCAGCGACGCGCGCCCGTCGACTCCCCCCCCCCGCCTCTCGGACCCACCCCGTCTCTGGGCGCCCCTCCTTCGTTAAGGGCTTAACGACGTCTGCTGTCTCTCGACTCCTGCCGGAAATTCGACGATTCCCCCAGGAGTTCCCTGAATACCCCTGGATCCGCCTTGCCCTGTTCGGATGCACGTCGACCTATCTGGATCTACCTCGACCCGTCTTGGCTCGTTCCGCAAAGAAACCGATTGGGGAAACGTCGATTAGCAATCAGGGACTCCATCTTCCGCGTGCTCCTCCTCTTCCCCTCCCTGAGACCCGGCGTTACGAACAGATTGCAGCATCGCGGGCAAACTCGTCTGAACCCTGGACCCAATGTTTCAGCTGCATTTGTCGCGCCAGATCGATCCGTGAAGGCCCCAGGGCCCGAAACGAGGCAAAATCGTCCGTTGTTGCAAAATTGCGACGCCAAGATTTAAGAGTTCTCGCTCTTCGCTTCCCGCTCCTTCCTTCCTCCCCCCCCCATCGGCGCGCGAAGCTGTCTGAATTACTAACACAAGCCCGGACGCGGAAATCCGCGGCTGGTTCGGCCAAGTTCAATTCCTCCTTCTCCTCCTCCTCCTCCTCCTCCTCCTCCTCCTCCTCCTCCTCCTCCTCCTCCTCCTCCTCTCCTCCTCCGACTCCTCCTCCTCGTCATCCTCCTCCTCCCTCTTGTCATTCGCCTGGTCCCGCCTCCTCCTCCTCCTCCTCCTCCTGCTCCTCCTCCTCCTCCTGCTCAGCATCATCATCATCATCATCATCATCATCATCATCATCATCATCATCATCATCATCATCATCACATCAGCATCATCAGCATCATCATCATCATCATCAGCAGCAGCAGCAGCAGCATCAGCATCATCATCATCATCATCAGCATCATCATCAGCAGCAGCAGCATCATCAGATTCATCTTCATCATCATCATCATCATCATCATCATCGTCATCATCAACATCATCATCGTCGTCCGTATCATCATCATCGTCAGCAGCATCATCATCACCATATCATCATCATCTGCATCATCAGCAACATCATCAGCAACATCATCATCGTCGTCGTCATCATCAGCAAAATCATCATCATCGTTATCATCGTTATCGTCATCGTAGTCAGCATCATAATCAACAGCAGCAGCATCAGCATCAGCATCAACATCATCATCAGCATCATCAACATCGCCAGCAGCAGCAACATCATCAGCATCATCATCAACATCATCATCAGCATAAGCATCAGCATCATCAGCAGCATGAGCATCAACATCAACAGCAGCATCATCAGCAACATCATCATCATCATCAGCATCAGCATCAGCATCATCAGTATCAGCATCGTCATCCTCATCGTAATCATCCGCAACATCAGCATCAATATCATCATCATCACCACCATCATCATCGTCAGCAGCAGCAGCACCATCATCAGCATCATCAGCATCATCAGCATCATCAGCATCATCAGCAGCATCATCAGCAGCATCAGCATCAGCATCATCATCAGCATCATCATCACCAGCATCAGCATCAGCATCAGCATCATCATCATCATCGTCATCAGCATCAGCATCATCAACAGCATTATCCTCATCAGCAGCGGCACCATCATCATCATCATCCTCATAATAATCATCCGCAGCATCAGCTCAAGTCATCATCAGCATCAGCAGCAGCATCATCATTGTCGTCATCATC